ATTCTGGGTTATCAGTTGGGACTAAAAATGGAATATTGTACTGTAACATTTTTGTAATTATATTTAGAAGATATTTTTTGGAAAATCTGTTTTTCAAACAATTATTTTCTAAAACTCGTATCATATTTTTATTTTCTAAATATTGTTTTTATTTTCTACCTATAGATTTTTATTCATGGATGTAAATATATAAAAAAGTTCTAGTTATATCAATTGCAGCCGTAACTTCAACTTTGTACCTCAACACAAGAGGGAAAAAAGGAAAAGATTAGGCGATCAAGATAATACCTGCAATCAATTAGTTGATGTTATGATTGTATCTGAGCTTTTGTTCATAAATTCAGGGCTATGCACTTCTCTGTGTGGGCTTCCCATCCTCTGATGTTGAAGTAGAAACACAAGACGAGGATGAGGTAATGTATTAAGTGACAGCTGTTCACTGGGTTAAGCTCGAAATACATAAAAAGTTATTGCTGTGAATTCTCACTTTAAGCATAATATAAGAACGTCGTTAATGTTATTTGAGCCTAGTATGTTATTTGGAGAAGAAAGTTTGAGTTAAATAATATGGAGTTACCCTGATTGAACTTCTGTCTTGTATTTGTGTTTACTTGGATCATTAGTTACATTTTGAAATGATTGAAATGTTCAGGTATATTGGCTTCAATTTGGAAGATATTTTGCACGTGGTCCAATTGTAAGTTGGTTGTTTCTAACCTTCTTGAAATATTTGAATATCTGGAGTTTTTAATGCAAATAAATTCTGGGCTCTTTTTGGTAGGTGTAAATGTTATCTTGTTTTTATTTTCTAAATTCATACATGCTTATGAAGTTTTTGTCTACGAAAATATGTGAAAGCTTGATATCTACCGGTTAACTGAAGTATAAACAAAATAATTTTTTAAAACCACTAAAAATGACATTTCAAAATATTGTTATTCTTGTGGTTAACTAATTTTTAATTGTGAATAAAATATATATAAGTTTAGAAAATAAAAACTAAAAAAGAGTTTTCTGTACAGATGGAACCTTGTATTCTTACTCTCGTTGGCACTCTATAATATCATTTGCTTATCTGCTTGTGTCACAGGAAAGGGACGATTATGCGTTGGAGTTGGCTATGGGTGACGAATAAGGTTAAGCAGAATTTTGAATTCAAAATGAGTTATCTCTAGCACCAAGGCTGCTTCTTCCATATCCTATATCTCTCTCCATCTTGGTGACATCAATCTCTTCAGATGCATTTTTGCCATTTATGTATAATTGCTAGTAATTATTTGTGCTATATATGTGCTCTGTATTTTATATCTCTTCTGTTCATATCTGTTGTGAGTCGTGCTGTGTATTTTACCTCAAAAATGTTGACCCATCACTATGCACATTTTAAGGAAAATCTATCATGACTTGAGTTGATATATCAACCTAAGTTGTCATAATTTCTAATTCTAATTTTTGTGTTATTCGAGTGTAAAACAATAACACAGATGTATTATGCTCTTTTTCACCATTTTGGATTTCTTGGTGATGATGAGGAGACATTTTTTCAAGTAAACAAGGAGTTGTGTTACAGGCAAAACAGTTTGTAACAAGTCGTTTCTCAAGAGTATTTTATTTTTCTTTTCTGCTGAAAGAAACAGTTTACAAAATAGTTAATTTGGGTTTTCATAAGAGGTGGTATTTTCCAGTTGCCTACTTATAACTTTTGCTTTGATTGTCAGCCATTGGATTGAGCACATCTACCCCATAGGATTTAATAGGTAGAAAACACAATTAATTGTTATTTTGGTCCTTTACCCTACGACTGATTTCAGAATGTTTAATACAAATCTCTCCCTTCACCTGCTTCAAGTGAACCATCCAACAGTGAGTTTACGATTGAAATTGGTACTCCATATCTCTTCTTTCTTTCTCCTCCAATTCTATTTGTGCGGATTCAAAGCAGTCCCAGATGTCAAAGTGCATGATTACCCGAACATGTGGGTTGAAACAGGTGGTGGAGCCCCATTGAAGGTAACTATGTGAAGAATGTGTATGTGTATGTGTGTATGTACATATATATATATATATATATATATATATATTAGGTTAAAGGGAGAAATGTTCCAACGTATAATAGGTGTACAAATGCCTCAATTTTTCGAAGGTATAAAACCTCCTCTTCATTTATAAGAAGCATCTCTAGAATTAAAATATAGAAATCTGATTAGGATTTTTTCTAAAATCACCAATTCTCTCTTGTTCTCTATGTGTTTGTTTTTCGTTTCTTCTTTACTGATTCTCAAAGATCAGGTTCCTTAGATGTTCTACATCGTATCTTTCCAGAAAAGTTGCAATCTCTACAAAAACAAAATAATGGGAGAGCTTCTTCCTTCTTATATAATAGCTTGTTTTTATTTATTCATTCATTCTGTATTAGTCTACATTTTGATTAATTTTGTATAATCTGAAATTCGGCTATAGAATTTGATAAAGTTGATTATTTTTCTTTAAGCTTGAACTTTTAATTAAAACTAGACTCGTGTATGAAACATACACGAGATAAGACACGTGTGTGTCAAATCCTATATAAAATAAGTTAGTTTGTGTGTTTTGATGGTAATTCATTTAACATGACCCGCGTTTGTCTCTATATTAGGGTTAGTTTGAATTTTGTCAAAAATATTTATTAGTTAAATTTCTATAAACTAACTACTTAACCTAAATCCAAATTAGTTTACAATTTTATTAGTTAAATTTCCTATAATGTCAATTAATGTTAAGAATATTTACAATTTTAAAAATTAATAATCGAGATCGTTAGTCTTAATTTGATTAGTCACTAATAGAAAAATGTTAATCTCTACTATTGTTAGCATCAATTTATTTAAAAAAAAAAAAAAAAAGACAAATATGATGAATTTTGATTCGCAAAGAGTGTAAATGGAATACAACTCATCTCTCTAATTCATTTGTTTTTAATAAAATACTGGTCTAAAACAATTAATTAATTAAAAAAAAAAAAAGACAACAAAAAGCTACAACCATAAAAGAATCACCTTCAAAATCTTTAAAACATCTCTTTTGGTCCTCCCCTCTCCAAATCATTTTCTTTGTGTTCGCTATTTGACAACTCAAACATAGAAAGTTGATCCACTCAATAATCAAATTTAAAATAACCCAAAAGAAAAGAAAATATCCTGAATAATTTTATCAAAGTGTTTTCCTTCATTTACCACTTTCAGTCCAAGTTTCATAACATTTGAATTTTAAAATATAATTTTTTATTAAAAGCTAAAATCATTTTCCAAAAGGTTACAAACTAAAAGTATTCTGTCTGTATTTAAACTTATTAAAAAAAAAAAAATTTGATTTTGACTTTTGACTTTCATGAAAAAATACTTCTTGATTTACTTCTTTTGGCAGTCTTTAAAAATAAATATTATTAAAACATAAAAGACAAAGCTAAAAAAAAAAAAAATATATATATATATATATATATACCCTACTACTATTAGATTTGACAAGTTTATTGGTAGAGGTGCTAAATAAGACTTGCATACTCTAATTTAGGTAGCACGTCAAAAAGAAATAACAAAAACTAAAAGCAAATTTCATCTCAACATTGTCGAACATGCTTACAACTCAAAAAGCCTTCTCGAAATATATTTTCTCATAATAGATTCATGGAGGAGAAGATCACGCAGTGAAAAATGAAAAAAGAAGAGAGAAAAATATATACATGGGAGTTAGTAGAGGCCATTTTCTTTCTCTACCAACATTCATAGATTCAATAGAAAACCAGAGTAGTATCCCACTCTGTAAATAAACCCATTCACGCATTGTACTTCTGTTCTGTCGTGCTCGTTGATGCCTGTATGATTCAACAAGCAAACATTTTCTCTTTTTCATTCAAGTAATAAAGAATCTAATGGCAAAAAATTAAAAAAAACAATATTAAAATATTCAATAATCTTATAGGAATAAAATATCATGTGTGAATGAAATTTTTAAGTTCATCATATGAATTTTTAACTTAAAAAGAATTTGAAAGAAAAACAAGCCAGATGTGACTGATTGATGCGACTGATATAGATGAAAATAAACAACATCTTTAATAACAAAAATTTACTCAACCCTAAATCAAGAATTTGTATAATTATGAATTTAGAACAAAAAAAAAAAAAAAAAAAAGAATAAACTAACCCCAACTGGTGTGACAAAATTGCAAACTGCACATTTCACAGATCGTGCTCCGTATTGATACATCAGTAACATCCTGCAGTTCCCACAATTGACATGTGCCACTTGATTCGCTGCCATCATCATTTTAAGCAGGATTTAATTTTACAAACGAGAACCAAATATTTATTTATACATGAAGCTTTGTGTATTCTGTATGTATGCATATGCATATGCATATGCATACTACATATATATATTACCTTCTAAGGCAAGGTTGACTGTATGGCAACAAGAACATTGCACGCTTGTGGCTCCCCGGATGTACATTAGTAATGTGTGGCAGCCTCCACAAACCAACTGGGCCATTTCAGTGCCTGTTTAGAGTGTCATAATTAAATTACTCTGATGTACAAACATATGCATGCACGCACACACACACACATATATATATATATGTACACACCCATAAGTGTACAGACTTAAAAACTTGCCTTAAAAGTAGTAGTACTTGTGAGTTAGAATTTTAAAACTAGTGTTAAAATAGTTTGTACCTGGTGGAGGCACAGCTGTTACTGCACTGCAGACGGCGCAACATACAGACGTTGCTCCCACCGGATACATCAAAAGGTTTCGACATCCGGAACACACAAGCTGACTTTGGAAACCTACTTGTTACACCACACAACAAATTATCTTCTGTAACGTTTTATCAATAATTTATAAAGGTCACAATCATTGATTTCATCAGTCAATTTATTAATTCAAACCTGAAACTACATCTGGGTATTACTTTTTTAAACTAAAATAATATTTCATACACCACAAACCAGCTTTGCATCTTTCATATATGTACACACACCAACAACATAGCACCTTGTTAAATGAACAAATGAGGCAAATCCAAGTTGAAGTGCCATTTCCAAATAGGTAATATAAACCCATTTGTTTATATTACCAGAAATAAGCTTTTAACAGAAAATTAGCTACCAAGCAAGTGAGGTTAACCGAAATTGAATATATATTAATAATTTGGGAAGACCCGTTTGATAGAAATATACCATTTGCAGATGGGGTATATGGAGGAGCCGGTGGAGTTGGATACGGAGCAAGAGGAACTGGCATTATAAAATTTGAAGCGCCCAAAATTTTTTCTCTCTTCCAAGCTTTACGGCCTAAAAAACATAGACCCATTTGTTTTTCCCATTCTAACCAAATCTGCAAGAGGCAAGAAGCCAAGAATCAAAAATTAAATAACATGAAAATAAAGTGGAAAAGATTGGAGAATACCCACCCAATTCAGGAAAGGTTTCAGTTGAACTTGAACACGTTTAACGGAGTAGTGTGGAGTGGGGCAAGCACATACCCTTAGCAAGTTGAAGATGGAGTTGAGAGAGAGAGAGAGAGAGATATGTGGACAATAAACAAAAAGCAGACTACGAAAGAGAAAGTTGGACTCTAAAAAGAAGTAAAAAAAAAAAAAGTGACTTTCCATTTTCCGCATTTCATAAAACTAAATTTTTTGCTTTTGAGGGGGTAAAAAACAAAGTTTCTTTAGTTTTTTGTCTCAACTCCAAAAAGATTTATTATTTATTATTTTTGAAAAAAAAAGAAGAAAAAGAAGGTGAAGATAAGGTTAAGATCTGGATTGCAAATCAATAAAGCCTTTTTTGTCTACCTTTTTATATGACTCTTTCTCAGTTGTGGCTGTACCGGAGGTATATTCCGAATCAGTTATTCTTTTTTTACTTTATTCATTATAAATAAATAAATTATTAATTTAATTCTCAAATTTTGATATTTATTACAGTCTAATTTTTAATATTCTTTTCATTATAATTTTGTTTTTAAATGTTTCAATCAATTTTTATATAATTTTTAATATAATAAATTAAAATAAATAGATTAAATATTTATAGATTTTAAAAAATAATTACGAAACAATTTTTTTAAAAGAAAATTTTATATATAAAAAAACTATTTTTCTTTTTATTTTTTATTATTTTGAAATTTAAAATGTGTTGTTTTTCAAATATGCAAACATATTTTATTGGGTCATTTGAAATCTCAAACAGAATTGTTACTGTCGCCTACAGACTGACACTACCTCCAGAACTATCCAGGGTCCATAACGTGTAGCAGCCCCAGAAATTTAAAATGGAATTTATATTATAAATATCAAATGCGGAAGCGAAGTCAAAATTTGAATAACATCCCTTACACTAAAACCAAAAACTTGCTCACAAAATATAAAAGATCAAACTACCTAAAGGAAAAACTTGAAAGTAAAAGCTACGAATATGACTATGGAGACTCTAGGCGTCCCATT